TGTGTGTGTGTGTGTGTGTGTGTGTGTGTGTGTGTGTGTGTGTGTATCTGTACATGTGGTGGGGAAATTTAGTAGGTTCTGGAGTTGAATATGTGAGAATCTGCTTCCTTTATGCAAGAAAATATTATGTCCCAGATTAAGGAGGGAGGTAGAAGTTATAGATGTAGAAGGAGAGAATTCACCTTTTATCTCTCCTTTTAGCTCTGCTTACACATTAGAAAACTGAATTTTAATTTAAACTGTTAATAATGCTGGTTGTGAATCTTCATTTCTCAGTCTTCTAATTCAGATTACTAATCACACTTAGAGGCATCATTACACAGATACTTGGAAAGACTTTTCACTGTATATGTGAGAATTCCTTAGCCCAGTCAAACTGACACATAAATCAATCTTCAAATGCAGGAATGTGTTTCTTTCAAGCATATATTAGAATCTCCTTTGCCACCTGGCAGCCCCATATTTAAATAAATTGCATAGCATACAGATTAAATTGTTGGTGTGCATGCTATTCATCTCCAAAAATTTATTCTATAGTTCATTTATTTTAAGACTGATTCCACAAGGCTACTGTCATGCTACTTTCTTGGTACATTAGTCCCAATGGATAAATATGATTAGAAATTATAGTTTTCCAAAACTTAAATAAACTAAAGTTTATTCCATAATATGTTTATATTTATACATTCTAATTGTTTTATGTTTTATTTCAAGAGAGTTAAAAGTACATTTGAAAACACAACATAGTTATAGGAAAATAAGGAATGGTCAGGTTTTATTCACAGGAACATCTTTACACATGAAAAATGAACTTAATTTGCTCTTTCTGTGTATGTATGTTTAGGTAAGTAGGTAGTAGGTGGGAGCATGTTGTTGGAGAGAGAACCTGGGGCTCTATACATAGAAAACATGTAGGGAGACACTGTTCATTCAAAATTTGTTTCTTTAGTATTATTATTTTAAATACAATTTTGTGTTTGACAGTTTCATACACATACATAATGCATTGTGATTACTCTCACCTTATACCAGTTCACATCCTCTTCCAATCCCTAAAAATATCCCAGTCATAATATAAGACTGCCATCTTTTTATCTTTTATTTTATGTACCATTATTTTTAACCACTACTATCTGCATGGCTATGGTTATATAACTGCCAATTGGAGGCTGGTGAGCTCACCAAAAGCTGGCATCTTGTCTTCTAATATTTATCAATACCCAAAAGTTCTCAAGGAAGTGTTAGGGTTCTTTGAATCACTCCCTTGCCCATGACTGACTCTTCATAGTTCCAGTTTAGTGCAGGTCCAGTCAGGAAGTACAAGCTGCTAGAGATCGTAAATGTAATTGCTATGTCTTGCCCAGAAGATAATAATTTCACCATATTTTATCTCCAACTTTCTTTTTGTCCTGTCTTCCATAATGTTCTCTGAGCCTCGGAGAGAAAAGAAGTATAAATACCCTCTGGTGGGGTTGAGCATACAACCATCAGTTACTTATTTTGTTGTTGTTGCTACCCTATTGAGGGGGTGAGCATACAACCATCAGTTACTTATTTTGTTGTTGTTGCTGCATTGTTAAAATTTATTATGAACTCAGTCATTTATATTCAGACATTTATACTCTGGTATAAACAAAGACAGATTTCTGCCAAAGTATTATTTTTGTGTTATAACTACAAAGATATTAAGAATAATAAATGCAATATTCAGGAGAATAATGAATGACTGTAAGCCCAAGTCTTGAACTATTTTCCATGAGAATATAGAACCAAAAATATACTTTATCAGATGAGAAGCATCAAATATTATTAAACATTTATGCACTTACTTTTAGAATTTGATCAACTTTCATATTTATATTTTCTTCTTATTGAAATAATTTTCATGTAATATATTCTCATTATTATTTCCATTCCCCAGACTCCTCCAAGATCCTCCATTCCACCAGAATCTACACTTTCTTTCTCCTTGGAGAATAAACATGAATCTAAGAATATTAAAATAAAATAACACAAACAAAATACCAAGATAGAATAAAACAAACAAACAAACAAACAGAGGAAGAGCCAACAGAAAAGCACAAAAATCATACTTCTCTTTCTTTCTTTATTTATTAGTTCTAGTAACCCTTCAGGTGGGATGGGCTCTCAAAGTCCCTTCTTGCACCAGGGAAAAATACTAATCCACCACCAGAGGCTCCCTGGATTGCAGAGGCCTCCTTATTGACATCTATGTTCAGGGGTCTGGATCAGTCTTGTACTGGCCTCCTTGACGGCATCTGTGATCGATGTGCTCTCCCTTGTTCAGGCCAACTGTTCCTGTGGGTTTCTCCAACCTGGTACAGACCCCTTCACTCTTCATTCCTCCCTCTCTTGAACTAAATTCCAGACTTCAGCTCAGTGTATATCTGTGGATGTCTATCTCTGCTTCCATCAGTCACAGGATGAGGGCTCTAGGATGGCATAAAGAGAAGTTATCAATCTCATTGTGTCATCCTTGTAGGTCTCTGGAGATCTCCCTGGTTCCAGATCTCTTCTCAGACCTAGAGTGGCTCCCTCTGATATGTTATCTCTCATTCTGCTCTCTCTCCTCTATTTTTCCCCCAACTCAATATTTCTGCTCCTCCATTTCCTCTCCCCTACTCCTCTTCTCTTGCTCTTATTGTGGCAGGCGC